CTCCATTTTAGGGCCGGTACTTTTCAATATTTTTATGAACGATCTGGATGTAGGAATAGAAGGTATTTTGAGCAAGTTTGCTGATGACACCAAACTTGGAGGAGTTGTGGACTCTGTTGAGGGTGGAAAGGCCTTGCAGAGGGATCTGGATAGGTTGGAGAGCTGGGCGATCACCAACCGCGTGAAGTTCAATAAGAGCAAGTGCCGGGTCCTGCACCTGGGACAGGGAAACCCTGGCTGCATGTACAGACTGGGCGATGAGACGCTGGAGAGCAGCCTAGAAGAGAGGGATCTGGGGGTCGTGGTAGACAGCAAGTTGAATATGAGCCAGCAGTGTGCCCTGGCAGCCAGGAGGGCCAACCGTGTCCTGGGGTGCATCAAGCACGGCATCGCTAGTAGGTCGAGGGAGGTGATTGTCCCGCTCTACTCTGCGCTGGTGCGGCCTCACCTCGAGTACTGTGTGCAGTTCTGGGCACCACAGTATAAAAAGGACATGAAACTGTTGGAGAGTGTCCAGAGGAGGGCTACGAAGATGGTGAAAGGCCTGGAGGGGAAGACGTACGAGGAACGGCTGAGGGCACTGGGCCTGTTCAGCCTGGAGAAGAGGAGGCTGAGGGGAGACCTCATCGCAGTCTACAACTTCCTCGTAAGGGGGTGTCGAGAGGCAGGAGACCTCTTCTCCATTAACACCAGTGACAGGACCCGCGGGAACGGGGTTAAGCTGAGGCAGGGGAAGTTTAGGCTTGACATCAGGAGGGGGTTCTTCACAGAGAGGGTGGTTGCACACTGGAACAGGCTCCCCAGGGAAGTGGTCACTGCACCGAGCCTGACTGAATTTAAGAAGAGATTGGACTGTGCGCTTAGTCACATGGTCTGAACTTTTGGGTAGACCTGTGCGGTGTCAAGAGTTGGACTTGATGATCCTTAAGGGTCCCTTCCAACTCAGGATATTCTATGATTATTAATAATAGTGCTTGATGCAGAAACGTGGACTTTATTGGCTCTGTAGCTTTTGCACCTTCAGTCACTGAGTATTTTTTCAGAAGATCTCTCTTCATTTTAGAATAAGTTAAGTTGTGTAGTTGGACTATGATAAGCAGGAGGCATATATGAATATTTAAAATCAATGTGATGTCTCTATCTACAGACATTCTAAAAACAATGAAGATGAAAATATCTTGTATCCTATTGAAAACACAAAGCTAACCAAAATCTAGAAGTACTACTTTTAGATACTGTAAACACTGTTTTGCTCAGTTTTCAGCTTCTCTGATGAAAAATATGGAACAATTATCCTAAAATACCTCTGCCAAAAGCTGCAACACTTTCCAAGTCAAATCAAGTTTTTGCTATCTTCATTTTTTTTTCCTATGAATTGTAGTGCTGCATTAGTATTTCAGAACCTTTCTGTATATAGAAAATTGGGAAATGTAAAACTGAAGCCCAGGTCCCTTCTGAAGAAGGGGGGCAGGAAGGAAAGCTACTGCGTGTGTCTTACTTCCATTATTATAGATAAGGAACACTAAAACCTAAATTCACAGTTCTAAATGTAAAAGATTGATTTATAGGCCTGACAGGTTCAATTTAGTGATCAGCTAAATCTTTCATTAGACTTCTGATTTTTTCATAAATGTCAGATGAGAACAGGGTGTGTTAGCATGCTCCGTGACCATGTTCCTGACTGAGTATGTAAAACAGGTCCTGCTGCTGGGGTCCCAGCCCTTCCATCCTGTCCCAGGGCTATCCCTAGGTTCATCCTCGTATTGGGTAACCGCACTTCATTTTAATGTCTTTTCTTCTTCAAAAAAAAAACACCAGTGCTAAGCGTATGCTGCACATTTTGCTCAGCTGAAAACATGATGACACTGAATTTTAAATAAATAAAAATAAGGCAGTGAGTTCATTTTAATGTAGGAAGGAAGGTAATGGATTACCCGTGTTTTTGGAATGGCAGTTCTTACATTTTTAATCTTCCCCATTAGCATTTATGTACTGCATCCAGAGATGAAAGCTCTGACAGAAGCAAGTCTGTCCTGCACCAGAGGAAAGAGATAATCTGAAACTCTGCAAGTTTGTGGCTGTGGGTTCAACCTGGGGTGGGAAGCCTCCTTAAAATCAACCGTGAACCTCTAAAATACCACTTCTTGGGCTAACAATTTTGATCATGTTTGTAACTTTTTCTTAATGTTTTTGTTACATTTTTTTCAACTTGTTTAGCACTTTTTTTGGTAAGCTTTTAGCTGTGTGCTTTACTTGCACAGTGAGCTTTTGAGTCTAATATCCTTGGTCATTGCTCAGGTGCCACCTGTAGCAGACCTGGTAGGCCTTCATGGACGTATTTCATAACCAGCATTACTGCTAACTGGACTGCTTTTAATGTTAGTTGTTTTGAGCAGATAGATATGTGAGAGGGCATTTCAAACTGATTCTTCCAGTGTTTTAGCCAGTACCTTTTAGTGTAGGGGAATGAAGGCTGCAGCCAACCAGCCTGAAAGCAGCAGCCTAGATTTAGCTGTAGCCACAAGCAACTCTTTCCAGTAGTAAAACAATCTTAGAATCATTAAGGTTGGACAAGACCTCTAAGATCACCTGGTCCAACCACCCCCCTACCACCACTGTCACCCACCAAACCATGTCCCCAAGCACCACGTCCAACCTCTCCTTGAACACCCCCAGGGACGGTGACTCCACCACCTCCCTGGGCAACCCGTCCCAGTGCCTGACTGCTCTTTCTGAGCAGAAATGTCTCCTCATTGCCAACCTGAACCTCCCCTGGAAGAACTTGAGGCCATTCGCTCTAGTGCTATCACTAGTTATCTATGAGAAGAGGTCAACCCACAGCTTCCTTTCAGGCAGTTGCAGAGAGCAATGAGGCCTCCCTTGAGCCTCCTCTTCTCCAGACTAAACACCCCCAGTGCCCTCAGCCGCTCCTCACAGGACTTGTGCTCCAGACCCCTCACCAGCTTTGAAGCCCTTCCCTGGACACTCTCCAGGGCCTTCTTGTACTCCAGGTGTCCTTCTTGTACTTAACTGAGATTTTCTTATTGGGAGATCACATCTTTGTCAGCTTTTTTTTTTTTTTGAATGTTCTTTTGGTTACGTTGCCTTTAATCTGGAAATCAAAGGGCAAGTGTTCTTGAACACATGCAGAAAACTAACCCTCAAGTTCTGGCTTTTTTCTTTTCAGAATATTATAGCAACACTTCTGTTCTGCACGTATTTATTTTATACATAAAGGTTTGTAAGACAGTTACATATTTATTCCTGCTAAACATATGACATGTTGCTGTTTACCAGAAGTAAAGTGTACTCTATTATAGCAACTAATGGTTAGAAAAAAAAAGACTTGATTAATACAGGAACTTACGTCTCACATCTTATAATTTTTCTCATGCTGAAGAGGGAATCATGGGGGCTGGGGGGAGTTTGCTACATGAGACTTCTGGTATGCTGGTTTGTGGGAAGTGATTTGCATAATGATTCATCAGGAGGCCAAAAAAAAGACACAAAGAATATCTCATTATATTCAGCCTTCAGTAGACATGCCAGGCTTGATGCTATTTAAAGGAGACAGTGTCTTGACCTTTATAATCTAAACCAAAACACCTTAAACCTGCAAAATGAACTAGTGTGTTTTTTTTTTTTAAACTGTGAATGTCCTCAGCCCATCACCCCAAACTAGTAAAATTTCTAAGTAAAGCTTTCAGTAATATTTCATTTTTTGACGTGTGTGTACCCATGCAGGGGCACATAAACATGTACCCAAACTTATTTGAAGCAAATGCATTGATAGGGACATGCTGTTGGGGGGTGGGAAAAAACAACAACAACAACAACAAAACACAAAACAACAAGGAACATGTTTGGAGAGGAATTTTGGTTTTGATATATTTTGAGATTTGTGCTATGCAAACTGTAATGACTTTGTATTAAAGGCATCTTAGGGAAAATGACATTTATGAACTGTCTTTTTTCATCTATGGCTTAGTGTTACTGAGAAACAGTTTTGCAGTATGGAATTTGTGTGTTTGCAAATAAGTAATTTACTTCAGAAAGGAGGACTATGAATCCATTTAGAAATTAGGGGACGCATTGCTTTCAGGTGGCCCATTAAATGCATTGTAGAGTGATGACTTGTCAGTGAGCTGGGTCACAGGAGACCTTTTCTCCATTAACACCAGCGACAGGACCCGCGGGAACGGGGTTAAGCTGAGGCAGGGGAAGTTTAGGCTGGACATCAGGAAGGGGTTCTTCACAGAGAGGGTGGTTGCACACTGGAACAGGCTCCCCAGGGAAGTGGTCACTGCACCGAGCCTGACTGAATTTAAGAAGAGATTGGACTGTGCACTTAGTCACATGGTCTGAACTTGGGTAGACCTGTGCGGTGTCAAGAGTTGGACTTGATGATCCTTAAGGGTCCCTTCCAACTCAGGATATTCTATGATTCTATGATTCTATGATAAAGTTGTGTTCAGTGATGTTTAGCCACAGAATCTTCCACTCTGCTCATGTAGTTTGAAACTAGTTTGTTGTATTTCCCTCAGTTTTATCAGATGTAGAATGTTTGACTTCCTTACCTTCCTAGAGTAAAGGAGATGAAACGGGATCTGTTGCAATTGCTCTGATATATGCTTGTTTTTTCACAACACTAGTATTTTTACTTCTCAAATACATACGATTCCAGTTCAGCAATTCCAGGAATTTTTAACTGGTGCTCTTATTGTAATGAATATTCATCCTAAACTTAAAAATCAGCATAGTTTTCCTGAATATGAGTGAAAATAGTAATGTCCAGTGAGTTTGCAGTGTTTTAAAGTTTATTGCCCTTCCAAAAATTAAACAAAAACCATTATAGCACAATAGGTGGTATCTGTCTTTTTGAGTACTGTTGATTTAAAAGCTCAATGAAAAGAGTATGTGAATTAACTGTATAATTCAATATGTTCTAAGTGTAACTATATGTAGTAGCTGTCTGTTGATGCGTAGTCTTTTTCCTCCAGGTCAGCATGATGGACCTCTACCACGGCAGCATGCGGGATTGCTTCCAGAATCGTTGATATGGGCATATATTGTGCAGCTCAGCTCTGCCTTACGGACCATTCATACAGCAGGACTAGCATGCCGAGTTATGGATCCAACAAAGATTCTTGTAACTGGCAAAACAAGGTAAAGTATTCATTTTCACTGTATACTGTGGTCTGTATTCATGATACCTGTTAACCATGCAGCTTTTTAGCAAAATAGCAAAGGCTTAATTAAAAAGTTCTATTAATATCTTATGTCAATTGAAAATGTTCTAGAACTTGTAAAGTTCAATTTAAACACATTTCAGGAAGACTTATGCACTATCCTCAATGTACTGTTGAGATCCACCACTGTCAGCTTAGAAACTTACTGATTTATTTGTAATACAAGGCTGTCTGTTGCACTATATCAAACAGTAAAATCAGTATTTTCTGCTTCATAATAGTTTGTGAAATACGAAGATAACTTTTTGTCATATTAAAGCATATGAATATTAGGGGAAAGGTATGAATATTTGGGGGAAAAATGGAGTAAACAGCAAAACTTACTGACGCTTCTTTTTTCTCGTTTCCAAAGGTTACGAGTTAATTGTGTTGGAATCTTTGATGTTTTAACATTTGACAACAGTCAAAATAATCCACTGGCATTAATGGCTCAGTTTCAGGTAAGACAACAGTGCTCTATTGAGGTTGGTGTCTTGGCACAGAGAGTACAGAAAACCAATGTGATTCCTTTTGGCAGATGAATATTTTAGTTGAATCGTAGTCTGGTATAACTATCTCTAAATAACTATTTTTTTATTCCTGATTTGATCTTCGTTTGAATTTGTTTGTAACTTAGAAATGTGAAAGCTCATTTTGCTATCTTCTGCTTCTGAAACTTCAGCAAACTCACAGAACAGGTCAAACTGTTAGTATTTAACAAACTGAAGTCAGAAATGGTTGGAATCACAGATCTCTAAAAGATCTTGAAAGAAAGAGGACGAAAAATCTTGCATTTAGTGATAGAGATCAGAAAATGTTTCAGTAGCAGTTTTTGCTCTTTCTCCTTTGTTTTAACAAATAATTAAGTGATGAATGACTGTAAACAGAGGAGGAAAAGATCTTTTAAAATATCTGCATTTAGGCCTTCTCCTCACTCCTAAAAGATTCGAGTGTATCTTTATTTTAGGCTCCTAGTTTTTCCGTGCTCTCCTGGCGTTCTCTGAAGTGTGGACTCTGCATAATTCGTGAATTAAGAAGAATCCCTTTAGACTTAACAAAAACTGTTCCACAGTCATCTGGAGCATCACTGTGTACAGGAGTGCCTCTTTCCCTAACTTCCCCTCAGGGTAAAGTACATTGCTTCAGCAGTCATCACGTACCCTGTCCATACTGGGAGAGAAAGACTACAGTAGGGAGTTGGATTTAATTTATTTTCATTAATTGAGCTTATTCACTGTGAGAAAATTGCTCATTCAGAGTCTTCCAGTAATAAATGAGATGTTTGAACTTTGGCCAGGCAGAAACTAGCTTATTGGAGACCTTGTCCTAGAACATATCAACTTTTTTAAATAATACACTAAAGCAATTTTTAGTGTACTTCTGGTAGGACATCAAAGGATCCTTCCTGTGCCCACCAGATACACGTCAATGGGCTTGTGGTAATAATTTAATAGAAACCAACTGAGAGGATACAGGGATGCAAGTAAGTGAGGGATTCCATTTCTAAAACTGTGGCGAGATTATGATCTAAATAATTCCTTAAATTTACTTTAATAGCAACAAGAGAAGAGATCCTTCTGAGATATTATGGCATTCAAGTAATTATAAAGCAAAATATTTAACGTACTTGGAGGTACAAATCTGAAAATACTTGCAGGTATGCCAATCTGTCAGAAGCATTTAGCACCACAGCAGCCCAACATTTGCCAACTAACTTTCTTAACACCTAGTTTTGCTTAGATACACGTTTTGTTTGCATGCTTTATTCATTCTTATTATCCAGATTGTTAAAGAATCACCACTAAACCAGTAGAGAAGTACTCTTCTGTGTGGAAGACGTACGCTGGAGTTAGAAAACATTGCATTACCTCCTTTTTGTTGCTTCCTCTAGAAAGGCTAGATTCTCATAATCCATTTTGTTCCTTCAGAGATTCTGGACTGAGTTAATTCCTTGAAATTCAGAAGTCGTTTATCACACTCTACCTTTGTTTGCCCTAGCCAGATAACACTACAAAATAACAGCTGCAGCTTGTCCTTTTTCCTCTCGATCCATGACCCAGTTCCTGAATTCCTCAGGGACTGTAAAAAATGTAGGTTATCTGTTGGTTTACTGCCCAGCTGATATGCATTTCCTTGTTGCTGTCTTCAGTGGAGGAAGGTATTTTTGTTAGCATTTGTCACTTTATGGCCATTTCCCATTGTTAATATAGATAGGAAAGAGTTTGGCCACAACAGAGAGGGGCTATGCAAAAGGATTGCAATTGTTCTTCACAGTCTGTTTTTCAGAGCCTGTGTTAGCTTACATGATCATTTAAGATTTAAAGGAAACTAAAAATACATAAATGAAATATGAATGGTCACTTATATTAAAAACAAGATGCTTAGACCTGTAGAAATTCCTTCCCCATCCTGCCTCCCTCCCCTGAATCTTTAAGTCATGTGTCAGTTACTAAATTCAGGTGGTAAAACTGTAAATGGTGATACAGGAAACAATAGAAGGTTTAATAAATACTGCTGTATTGGAATAAAAATGAAACTGAGTTCTCTCTGTATGAAATGAAGAGAAAACAGGTTCTATTGATTTAACAAGGGCTGTAAGGTTACATTTGCTCAAAGTAAATATTTTAATGTAGTAAACCAAAATAATTTTCACATACACCTCCCCAGATTTAAATAAACTAGCAGAAGAGGCATCTAAAGTCTTGATGTTGACTTCAAAATTAATAAATAATCTAGGAACTTGGAGGGACTTAAGTACAATTCCAGTACTTAAAAGGACAGGCAAATCTACAGAATTAGTGATTGAGCTGATACTGATCCAAGCACAGCACTCGAATAGGATAAACGAAGTGTCAGTTTCAAAGAACTTATGGAAGATGGATCTTGTCAAAAAATGTGATTTATTTGACTAGCTTACATGTCTAGCTGATGCAGCCAACTGTATAAAATGCTCATATATCTTGAGGGCTTTTGGCACAGGAGCGTATATCTTTTTAACATTAAAATGCAGAAAGAATACCTATTCAATTAATTTTTAAATTGCTCACTGACATATTTAAAATTCATTTGATAACAGAGAAACCATTAATGAAGAAGGCTGTTTCTGAGGGTATCTCCTTGAGGCTATTTTTTAGTCTAATGCTACTTTATATTTCCATCAATGACCCTAGATGATGGTGATACAATCTTTACCTGCAAAGTTTTTCAGGAGATAAAAAAAGAAAGGTTGTTACAGGTTACAGTTATTACTAATTGAATTGCTACTTAAATGATCATTAGTTGCATGCAAGATACGTTTTTGAACAAAAGGCAACCTGTACTTAAAAAATGTAGTAGTTTTCTTTGAAGTTGTGAATTGACTTAGTATGATTTTAATAGTCACTGTTGATAGTTACCATAGCAAAAGTCTTCTGGCAAGCTAATGGCTCGTGACCCTTAAATATGTGAAAAGCATGACATGGAGCATAAGCAGAGAAATGATCGTATCTGATGTGTACCTTGAACTGGTAAAGCTACTGCAGGAGTACTCCTTACTTCTAGTGTCCCTGCTTCAAAAAAAGTCTAGCAGTTTGTTTGCATCCTTTAAACTTCCTCTGCCTTGAAGCAGCAAGATCTGAATGAGGTTTTTTTTTTTTTTTTTTTCAGAGAGGAGGGTAAGACTTAATAGGAATATATGGCTTTCTTTTCCCTGCAGAAAGATGGTGTGCTTCAGCTTTTGGGATGTTTTTACCTTGTCTACATGGATAGAGTTTGTCAGTGGATGGCAGTTTGATCCCTTCTGAAATAGGAATCTGAAATCCATAAATCCAGATGTCCATTCCATTATCTAATTAGACACGAGAAAAATAATAATCTGTGTACTTCTGTGCTCTTGTAAGAATTCGTACACTGGACATTGTAATAACACTTTATTTCAGGGTTTTAGGTGTCAGTGAATAGCGAGGCAGCTTCAGGGAGTGATTCAGCTTGCTTAAAATCTGAATTGTCCTGTGGAATACACAGATCTTCGATTGATCAGACTCTTAACTGAGTAACTTCAAGTTTAAATTCCTAAAATTAACGGGATGAATCCAAACCATTTTTCGACCAAAACACAAGTTAAGCATTGGCTGTAACTGGAACTGTGTGCTTGAGGCTTCATTGGTGTGTTGTATTATCTCTGCCCATTTTTCTGTTAGGTGTACTTAGCAAAATAAAGAAAACTCTTTGAAAATAAAAAGTCTGAATTTAGAATTTCCTAGCTGAAGCTAACATAGACCTTTCTCAACCATTTTTAAAATCTAATGCAATCTGTATTATGAAAGCAACTATGTAAAGAGACTATTTCTCCAATAGGGTCTTTCCTTAAGTTTTCTGTTTTGGGTATATTTGTCAGGGTTGGGTGAAAAGAATTTACATAAGACACCTCCTTAACAATTATTAGAAGTTGGAAGGTTCTAAGTAGGAGACTGCAGAAAGAAGATAACATTAACACAAATACTTCCATATTTTTCTCAAGTCTTTTGGAAACAAACAAGCAAAATAACAAAAATACCATTGTGCAGGGTAAAGATGTCTCAGTGCAGATACCTTATCAGCAAGGTTCTTCTGTTTTGTACAACAGCAGTGTCATCTGCTGCTCAAACTGTCTGTGCTTAGTAGTGGCAGCAAGTAGGTTCCCACCTTGTTGGTCCTTTTCATTTCTCTTTGCCAAAGTACAAAGCAATATTGATGCTCAGGAATTCCTGGTTCCTTAGGAAGTCAAGTCTAACAAATGCCAATCCCATCTTTTCCACGCATTGTCTTTATTGCTGTCCTATTTTCCATGTCCTGTTTCTGTCTTCATTAATGACTGCCCTGTTCCATGCTTTTAAACTTATGTCACATTGCTTATCCGTGTTTAAGTTGTGCTGCTTAATCATACGTTAGCAGTTGATACAGAAACAGCAGGAACGTTCAGAGACCTGGAAACATGTTCTTTACTTGGTGCCTCAACATCTGGAAGACGTGGCCGAAGGGAAAGAAGGCTCTGTTCAGCTGCTGCAGCCAAAGGAAGCAGCAAACACAGCTACCTACCCCTCTGGGTGGAACAGCTGTGAGGGGCTGTGGCAAATCCACCATCTCGGGAGTTTCCTAAAGTTTTAGCTACCAAATTCTAAACAGAACTTTCAATGTTGCTGTACTGCCAAATTGCTGACCTTCCTAACAGAAATGACAGCAGGTATACTCCCTGTGTGACAATGTTCTTTGCAAAACATTTTTCCTCCAGAATATGGAGTTGACATTCACAACAAATAGTAGCATTCACCTCTTAGCTTTTGCAAAAATATCTTTTCTAAGAGGAAAGTCAGGAAATCTGACTCTTAAATTCAGTCTGAAGCAGGCATCCAATATGGAAAGCTGCAAATGTTTCAAGTTTGGCCAAGTTACGTGCACCTGAAAGAGTTTCTATAGGGAGAATCAGGCAGCTTTTGCTACGAAGAGTACTGTCTGCTACTAAATTAGGCTTCTGCTTTCAGAGGTGACTTCAAGTCTGGTGTAGCTTTTTGCAGTAACTTCTTGTGGCTGTCCTTCTACCTGTAAAATCAAAATGGGCTAAATTTTCTGTTGTGACAAAGTCTATGCAGCTGCTTTCTCTTTTTTTTGAGAAGCTTTACTCTAAGGAAAGGGGTTTGTAATGCTAAGGATTTCTTCACAAAATGGGATGCCGCTCCAGTTGTTAGCCTTACAGGTCTGTTCCTGTCTAGTTACTTCAGGCAGTTCCTATCTTTTCACACGGGCCATTAGAGATGAAAATCTACGATCTGTTTGTTAAAACAAAAACATGAGCTGCTAGGTTCCAGTAGGACATGTTTCTGTTTTAATGAATAAGCCTTGATACGTATTTCTGTGTCTTGTGCTGAGAAGGCTTGTGCAATTTACTACCAAATGCTTGATTCCTCAGCAGGCAGTGCATGAGTGGTTAGGAAAATCTCTTTGTGTAGAGCTTCTGCTCACTACAGAAGATTTTGCTCTGGTACTATCATTAAGCTAAAATAAGTGGATTTTAAGCATTCAAGGGTAAATATACTATCTTGAAGCTCTTAGGTATCAAACAGGAGATCAGGACAAATTCTCCTCTGTATGTTTTAACCACTTGGACAGCTGTATTGAACTATAGCACTTCAGTTGCTCAAGTCCTTCAAAGGTTACTGAAGAATGATCTCTTTAAATGCCATCTAGTTCTGTAGGTAATATTTATCTATACTATGAATCTTATCTGTGCATGTTTTCCCTGTTAGCAAGCAGATCTGATCTCCTTGGGGAAAGTTGTGTTGGCTTTGGCGTGCAATTCTTTATCAGGAATTCAGAGAGAGAATTTGCAGAAAGCAATGGAACTGGTGACAATCAACTATTCCTCTGATCTGAAGAATCTGATTTTGTAAGTTTGCTACTACATTTATTTGCCAATGTCTTAAAAAAATAAATAAAAATACATCTTTTAAAGAAAATTACCTTAACATACAGATGAAAAAGTCAAAATAATATTTTCAGTTGCAAATAAGGTAGAACTGTCATTGAATGTCTGCATAGCCAGTGCATTATTAAGCATTATCATTTAAAGTTAATTAATATAATGCGTATTTTTATGGTGTATCTAATAAAAATCAGTGCCCTTGCTTTATTAGAGTGTTGTTAAAGCTCCTAATAAGAAGTTACTATTCAACTTTAAAGAACTATACAAAGCAAACACACACACCCCAAATGAAAAACAACAACAAAAAAAAAGAAACACACCACCACACAAGCCTTATAAGTAATCTTCAGTACTGGGTTTCTTGCCTGTTATCTACCATAGCAATATCCTGGTCTTATCTCACATTTTCACAGTTTCAGAAGATATTAAAGAATAGGCACATTTCCTTTTTGACCAAAGACGTGAACACTAGCTTTTCTTAGTCGTGTATTATTTTGTGGTGTTCTTCAGTACAGTCATTATTTCTGCTCTTGCAGCCTAAGAGGGGAAAGTAGAGAAATCTGTCCCCTCTCTCATTTGAAAAACAATTGCATGACAATCTGAATCTTTGCATCCTTCCCTCTTTTCAGGTATGCTCTTAATGTTTGAGTGGAGTGAACTAAGAAGTTCCATGAAGGCACAATCCTAGCTAATACAAATAACTGTCTGGAAATGTAGAAGTAAATTAACACAAATATTTTCTTCGTTAATATCTTTTTAATTAAACACAAATTGTCAACTCATATTAAATAGACATCAGGGTCAATAGTTGTAAAGTCGTAATAGGACGAACTCTCTGGCACTTGCAGCATGTTTAAGTAATCTTTTGGGGGTGGGGATATTTTGGCAGGTATTTGCTGACTGACCAAAACAGGCTTCGCAGTGTAAATGATATCATGCCTATGATTGGTGCGCGATTCTATACTCAGTTGGATGCTGCTCAAATGAGAAATGATGTTATAGAGGAAGACCTTGCAAAGGTAAATAATTTGGTAATTCGTACAGGAAGACGTATAGTTGGTAATCCTACAGCTCTACTTTAAGGGGGAATGTTTTCTAGGTACTTTTTCTTTTGTTTGTTTAGCAACCCAAGTAAGCTGCTTACAGACTTAACTCTGAGTGCAAGGTACTGAAAATCCAAAAGTTCTAAAAACCACTAGTTTTAGAAAGTGCTTGGCTGGCCTTTAACTCTAGGTAGCATCTTTATATTCAACCAACAGTCCTAGGAAAAGATTTTCTTTACTGAATGGTTAAAAAGTAGTATTCTGAGTTCATAATGCTTATACGTCATCTCACACTAGATCATCTAGCTTGTGTTAGAGGTTATAGAGCAACAAATGCTTTCTTCAAATTCTTAGATTTAGATTTCAGTGCCACTTTACTTATCTTATTCCTTTCCCAATGAATGGTTGTGGAAGTAAAGGTTGTGATCCTCGGTTTCCCTGAAATGTGCACCTTTTGCTGTGTGGGTCTGGTTAGTCTACCAAGTTCAGTCATTGTATTGAGTGCTAGCTACGAAGAAAATATGTACTTTGTCCTATGTTAGTGTGTATTTGTTCAGTAGGAAAGTGTTTGAGCTTCATCTTGTCTACTTATCAGAAGCCACTGATCATAGGATTTTCTAACATGACTGCGATAACATTGCAGAAAGCTTTCATATTGCTGAAGATTTGTGTAGTCTAGTGTATTCTGTTTCTAAGGATTTAAGTCTTGCAACTCCTTTCCCTTACATGCCCCAGATAAGCATATTTGAAAAGCAATAGATAGGATTCTGGTGAACTGGTACTGTTAACTTTTCCATGATAGACTTGTTGGAAACCTGCTTTTCCGTCCTTAGTGAAAGATGAGGAAATCTTTCAGAAGCAAAGAGATATAAAGCAGGTTGGTGTCTACTTTGGATGCCTGACAGGTGCTCACTCTTCCTATTAATAGTCAACTGATCCTACTCTGAAGATGTTTAGGATCACTTCTTGTCAAGGTGGCCCAAGATGCCTGCACAAATTTGGGTAGCTGGACCTCTTCCAATAACAAAAATGGAGATTGTCCTGTAATCAGCGTTAAGGAGTGTACGTTTTCAGTCAGGTTGCTTACAGCAGTTGCTTTTCACTGGTGAGCACAGCCACCACAAATCCAAGTTGTTGTGTAGCCCCTAGTTTGGCAGTAGCTGCTTATCTAGCAGCAGTAAATAGCAGTTGTTAATTAAATATCATACTATAACTTGGTTGCACTGTCACATATTCCATTACCATCAGACCTACAGTACTTAGGTCTAGCCATATACCCTCTCTTCATCATTGCTGCAAAGAATGTTAGAACAATGTTTGTATGTATGTTCTTTCATCATATTCTCCAAGCATGCAGTCATCTGCAGCTTAGGGGCTTCTAATTCCTGAAGTGGTTTGTATGTAGTTAATAACTTTACTACACTTGAAGCCATGAATATTGTTATTTGCATTTCACATGGCAGTTACCCCATTACTCTGTCCTTTCCCTTCTTCACCTGAATATTCCTATCATCTACATGTCACAGCACTCAAGTATGCAAAGCCTCAGTTTTTAAGTCCTCTAATAGAGTCTGTAGAAGAATTCCCTGCCCTACAGGCTACTCAGCCTGCAGAGAGGCAACCTGGAGCCTTAGAGTCAGTGTTGGTGTTCAATTTTGTCACCATTGACTTGGAATCTGCAAGGCTGTAGCATTCACATACATGCATTTCTGGCTTTTGTGTATTTGGGCACATGCCAAAAAATTATTTGGAGGTTGTGTAAACCTCTGCTAGCTGGACAAGGTAAGTCTTTTCTGTCAACTTCTAAGTGCAGCTTCAAGTGACGTACAAGCTGTTCTGCTGTGTGTTTTTAGACTGGTAATAAAAATCTTGCAAACCCATAGGCTGTCTGAGGTCAAGCTATTATCACCTTGACCTATTTTATTTACCCAGCTGTGCACAGTAATCTACTCCAGACTGAACTCATTTGAAATCAATATGATCATGCATGAAGTGAGATGCAGTTTAGCATGAATAACACTGGAGAGCTGGGCCACTGGAGAATATAAAAAAAATATCAAGAGAGAATCTTTTTTCCCTGCCAGCTTTGAGGAGCTTTACTTAAACGGAAGATTAATCCATAGTATAATGCAAGCTAGATTAAGATGCAACACTTTACAGTAACCTAAACGATGATGAAAAATGTATGAAATAATTTTTTAATTGCATGTATTATGAGCATTTTAAATGCTATTGTTTTGTCTTTTGTATGAGCTTGTTTTGACTGCTTTGCCTCTGATATTGAAGGACTTGGAATTAATACTGCATTAAGTAAAAATTAAATTTATAGCCTTGTGAAAAAACTTGTTTCAAAATATTGTATTAGACTGCTATTCCAATTGGTCTGATATTATTGTTGCTAAACAATATTAACTAACAATGGCCTACAGAACATTTTCCAAGAACACATTTAGTAGAGTATTTCTTATTTACCTGAAATTAGCTATTGTACTGTTCACTTCTACAGTCTTGATAAGTGCCTGTGTATGTATAGACATGCACGTATGCTTGTGTGTGTGTATATATATACATACACACATGCATGTGTGTGTTAACATTGTTTAATGTACAGTATTTTGACATACTTTTAAGTGTAGGCTGGCAGGAGAGTCGAGACTTGTTTCTGCATAGGGCTAGGTTGCCTGATCCAGCTTCTGCTGGGGCAGTAAGATGTCACTGATTGTTAAACCTCCACATTATAACTTGGCTATGAACTGCCAAGATTAGATTTGGGACTACCAATACACAATATAATGTATTGGATCTCTTTCTGAAACACGCAGTCTTAGAATAAATACATCTCTGTAGTACATAGTGCTTCGTTGCCACTACTACTATATATCTTTGCCAAAAAAGTGTCTTACATTTCAGATACTTTAATAATCTTTCTTGTTTTCTAGGAGGTGCAAAATGGAAGGTTGTTTAGGCTTCTAGCAAAATTGGGAACAATCAATGAGAGGCCAGAGTAAGAAATTCTTGTTTTTGTGGTGTAAAGTATGCAAAATCCAGATTGCAATGCAAGGCTTCTTCCTTTGTAAACTTAAGTTAAACATTTTCCCCATATTTGCCTCTTAAGGATTTAGTTGTTTAAGAAGCCTTGAAACAATAAGATAAGCAACTTTGACCAAAATAGTAAAGGAAAAGAGAAGGCTACGAATAGGTATGCCAAAGTTGCTTCCTCTTTTAGTATGGATTCTCTTGTTGGTCTGTTGTGAGTGACAATAGTTTTTGAGGAAATGCATAGCTTCCTTGATCTGTAGCATATGGCATAGCTACCAGCTTTAAGCCTGTTAATTATCAGCTTTTTTTTTTTTTATCAACTACCTTATAAAAAATTAAATGTTCATGGTCTGTTTTCTATCCATTATTGTTTTTCCCGTTACTGAATAGACTTGGGTAAAAGCTGTTTATAAAGCTAGTTTCTAATATTCACATAGTATACTCGTTGTAGATGGCCACTGCTTTCTTCCATTCCTTTTGTTGGCCATCTGTATGCATTAGCTTCAGATACTTCAGCTGAGTTGCTTTGATTGTTATCTTCTATCTGTATAGCAGGAGGGAAACTGATTTAATTGCAGATTATAACAGGAAGCTTAGCAGAGCAATGAGATTACTAGATTCAGATCAGTCATGTATATTTGTGGGTTTTGCTTTATCTTTAACTTTCTGAGTTTTAATCTGAGCCTTTGTTTTATACCAGGTTTCAGAAAGACCCAACATGGTCAGAAAC